AAAAAAAAAAAAACTCGAATGACCCCATTGGCAATCGAACCCGCGACCTTTGTTTGTAGCATAGGGCCTCAACCAACTACGCTACCGCGTGTCCCGATAAATGTACGGAGTATTCGAAAAGCATCTGTCTTTTAAAACAACGCCATATAGGTTCCAGATATACCTTGCTTCTTGCGTGAAATGTACTGTATCATATGCACCATGTGATTGTTTCTAATTCAAATTCTTTCTTTCCTTAAATTACTTACATTTTTTACGCACAAAGAAACCACTTTTGTCAGTTTTTATTTTATAATTTCCGTCTTCAGTCTCAGTTTCTGATATATAAGAATCAACCCTAACCACAATCTTACAAAGAAACTGTCCAAAAGCGGCACAAAATTGCATCGGCGAGCCGGGATATAAATGCTATTCCATAGTCTTCGGACTCCGTTGTGTCTTTGTGATTTACACTGTTTAGCTATTCATAAAACTTTTCGTCAGTTCCTCTAGGCCAGGCATGTCCAACGCATCGATCGCGGGACGATTTTTGGTCGATCTCATAGGCCTATAAGGAAATTATACGTGAAAAGCATGTAAGTTCACCTGCAATATAATATAATATAATTATATTCAAATTTTGAACGAAAAATTCTTATTTTTCTGTTCTTATGTAGCTTACGTGAAAATTGTTTTACACTTGTGTTAAGTGAACTGTGGGGAAGTCCCTACTCTATCCCTATCACGTGACCTCTTATTTAATCACTCGTCGTCAACCGCGTGTGTTCTAATGCAAGAGTGATCGACAGAACGTGTGATTCGTTTCGTTCCCTCCCTCCAGTCAACTGTTAATCCCGTACGTTGAACTAACGAGTGAGACGTATTATTATATTAGGTGTTAGTGGGGATTTGTTGCATTGCTGTGCATTAAACAAATATAGAGTTTGGAGATGTGTTCGGTGTAATCAAAGGGACAGTAAGTGCTCTGCCCATATTATTTTATTAATTTCGAAAGTGTTATTTTATTAATTTCGAAAGTGTCTGTGTGCGTGTGTCAGATAAAACAGTTACCTCAATATAGTGGAAAATGCAACGCCTCAGTATCCTTGCCAAAAAGTGTAATCTGGAACGTCATTATAACGCTCTCCATAGCAATAAGTACGATGCTGATTTTCCACCCAAAAGTGAAATTCGTAAACTTAAGTTCAAGGAACTTAAATCGAAATTAGCTGCTCAACAACAGTTGATGGCAAAACCAAGGTCACTTTCTAACAATGCAACCAAATCATCCTTCAAGGTCATCAATCTGATCGTTAAAATATTCAAATCTTTCACTGAAGGGGAATTTGTAAAAGAATGTTTTCTTGAAATAGGTGATAATCTTTCTGAAGGATTTAAAAATAAGAAAGAGATTATAGCTACAATTCAAGATCTTCAGTTATCAAGAAACACCATTGTGCGGCGAATAGAAATTATGTGTGGAAACATAACTGAACAGTTGTTGAAAAATGTTTCCAATTGTGTTGCTTTCTCCCTCCAACTGGATGAATCTACAGACGTCAGAAACAGCTCAGTCACTGGTTGCTTTTACAACAAACATCATGTGTCATGTTATTTTTACCAATATTTTTGCTTAAAGCGAGATACGACGATAGGAGGGGGTGGTAGATCACTGGCAGTTTTGACACTAAAAAGTCGATCACAACCTGTTTGAAGCTGAACATGCCTGCTCTAGACAAATGTCGAAATGTTGATTTAAAATTAGGCCGATAACTATTTCTTTCAATCCCTTCCAATTCATTATTCACTATCATCGTCCCCCGATAGTAGGTAGTCTGAGGTACTGACTAACTAACTAACACCCTGGATATGAGCCCTTCTTCGGAAACTGCCAGTCTCTCAGATACTCAAGAATTTCCGAACAATTTATGGAACCCTAATATTCATTACCGTGTTCAGAAGAGCCCTCCGCTTGTCCCTCTCCTGAGCCAGATCAAGCCGGTCCATATCACCGCATCTTATTTCTTTAAGATTCATTTTAATATTACCCTACCACTTGATTCTAGGTCTTTGTAATTGTCTCTTTTTTTCTTGATTTCTCTCCAAAATCCTATATGAATTCCTGTTCTTCTCCATGCAAGCTATTTGCCCTGCCCATCTTACCCTTCTTGACTTGATCATTCTAATTATATTTGGAGAATAGTACAAGTTATGAAGCTCCTCTTTATGCAGTTTTGTCCAACCTCCTACTGTTTTGCTCCTTTTCGCTCCAACTGTTCTCTTCAGAACCACGTCTTCAAGTACAATAAGTCTATGTCTGAGTTATTACAGCGTTGTTAAATAAACCGAAAATAATAATAATAAAATAAACACGTGGACTTCCGGCGAGAAATTTCTCAAGTTTTAATGAAAGTATTTCCTTCGCTCTTTTCTCTCTGCGTTTTGCTAATTTATTTCCCTTAATCATTATTGAACGCGGAAAGAAGTCCCCAACACTGCGAGGAAATTGAGCAATATCTGCGTGTGCTGATATCCGCAGTTACGATCGGTTTTACTTCTCTCAAGGAAAATACCAGAATAAGTGGAACACTGACTCCCTCCTGATGTACTTGTAAGCAGATACAAGTGAACTGATAATACTGTCATACCAAGACGGCGCAGCATCCATCATTCAGATGTAGTAAAAAGTTGCTTTAATTCTAATTGATTGGCACTAATAGGTGGTCCCTGTAAAAAGAACAAGATTCATGTGTCCTGCAAATTATGGCAGCATTGCAAAAATACAGCTTTAAGTGGGAGCCTCTTTGCTAACAGAGATAAATCTCTAATAGGATAGCAGTTCTCAAACCGAGATTTGAACTCGAGGCCATCCTAGACTTGACTGCAAATACGAAAGTAGTGCAGTGGCCTCACACCCACCCCACTGCATGCATATATATTCCATCTAAGAGTACTATAGGGGTGAGGATGCATTATCATCAGATAGTGACGTAGACCATTACGTCATCATCAGAGAGTTACTATTAAGTTCTATTTTCAGCATGTTTCCCGCATTCATACGCTGGCAGGAAATTGAAATATTTTTGCACAGTACTTGTTTTCATAAGATTGCCTACTTAAGGTATGGCGTACCCTCGATCCTACAGTAGATGAACTGGAAACACATATATACGAGGGAGGGTCAGTAAAAGGTCACAAATTGAAGTGAAACAGCTGTAATGGACGTAATAGGTTTTCTACGTGTAACACTAGGTAGTAGCAAAGTCCAGGTTCATGCCAGTCTAGGTAGTAGACTCGCATGTTCAGAAACTGGTTTTAGTAGTCAAAATGGCAATCGTGCTCGAGGAGTGTATATTACCAAAGAGCAGAGTGCTGTTATGCGTTTTTGTGGGCAAACGGATTCAATGTAAAGGATATTGATAAAGAAAGGTTTGCTGTTTATGTTGGGAAGTGTTTGTTGCGTAAAGCGGTTCCAGCTTGGTGGCAGACATTTCGCTAATGACGAAGAGGTTGAAGCGAAGGTTGGAAGTGGCTAAGCCAACAGTCAAAAGACTTCTATGCTGCGGGTTTCGACGCATTGGTAAAGCGATGGGACATTTGTATCAATGTTGGTGAATGATATGTCGAGAAATAAATTGTCTTTCCAGGTTCAAATATCACATTCTTTACGTTTTATATTCATTTGTGTCCTATTTGCCGAATCTGCCTCGTATTTTAAAGCAGGTGGTTCATAGAGTTACCACTGTAATGTTATTTATATACTGGAAAACTGAGCAGAATTCTACTTTCAGTTCTGTTGTGGTCCTTTGGGCTATGTCACGGTATAGTCTAATCGGTGGTTCCTAAGCCTCCCTGATTGGCCGCGCCATAGCTCAAGCGGTTAGTCGTTGGCTTCCCACCGCGGCGTCCCGGGTTCGATCCCGGTGTCTGGTCACGTGGGGTTTATGGTGGACCTAGTGTCGCTGGGTCGGGTTTTCTCTGAGTACTTCGGTTTCCCCTGCCAATCTTCATTCCACCAATTGCTCCACAATCACCCTCACCTATCATCTGGGGCTGGTACAATAGGCCAGAAGTGGCCGCAGTACAAGGGACTTAGTCTCACCCCACTAGCAATAATAATAAAAAAAGCCTCCCTAATGAAGGATCACCCAATGTGGATCTTCATCGCCGCGAAATTCCCGTTTGTATACCTCATTCGCATTTGTTGAACGCGGTTAACTTTGTCTTATCCTATTACATCTTACAGTGTTATGTGTGTTTATATTTGCAACCTGGTGATTATACAACTGACCAATATGCGTTTGTTTATTTGCAGATCTCTGCCCTCTCTGATATTGAACAATGATTCAAGTAGACGAATCAGATCCAGTTGGAGGTAAGGAGTCTTCTCCGCTATTATAATCCTTTGTGACAATAAGAATATGTACAGTGTAACATCGCTTAACGAGCACCTCTCATAACGAGTAATTCGCATAACGAGCAAAACAAACTGTAAGGGATGCCTCGCTTAACGAGCGACGTTTCGCATAACGAGTGACGAGAGGGGAAGTCCCGGATTGTGTGCTTGCTACATCAGTCTGTGTTCAGCACTCTTTCCGCTAGCATCTTAGTGTCGCTTGTGATCACACATTTTTCCAAACTTGTGTTCAGACATATTATGTGATTTTTTTTGTGCGAAGTTTAATAACTAACTTACTTACTCATGGAGCTGAGCCCTTCTTGAGGAGCCGCCAATTCTGCAGCTACTCAAGAATTTCCCAGCATTTTATGGAACCCGAAGGTTCATCACCGTGTTCACAAGAGCCCTCCACTGGTCCCTATCCTGAGCCAGATCTATCCAATCCATACCATCCCTTCCTATCTCCCTAAGATCCATTCTAATATTGTCCACCCACTACGCCTTGGTCTTCCCAGTGGCCTCTTTCCTTCTGGCTTTCCCACCAATATCCTATACGCATTCCTCGTCGCCCCTATTCGTGCTACATGTTCTGCCCATCTCATTCTCCCTGGATTGATTATTCTAATGATATTTGGCGAAGAGTACATGTTATGAAGCTCTTCATTATACAGTTTTCTCCAACCTAACGTCAATTCATCCCTCTTCGGTTCAAATATTCTCCTCAACACTCTGTTCTCAAACACCCTCAGTCTATGTTCCTCCCTTAATGTCAGAGATGCACCCATACAGAACAACAGGCAAAATTTGTTTTGTATATTCTAATTTTTATGTTTCTAGACAACAGATGAGAAGACAAAAGGTTCTGGACTGAATGGTAGCAAGCATTACCAGAATTCAGCCTCCTATTAATTTCCTCCTCAATCAGGTTTTGATTTGTTATAGTCGTTCCCAAATATCTGCACTGTGCCACATTTTCAAAACATATGTTTCCTATTTTTATGTCATGATTTTGCCCTGCATTTTGGCGTTTATTTCTATACCAATCTCCTTACTAGCGTCAGTTAAAATCTGTTTGTTTCTCTTTATGGTATATCTATTATCACCCAGTAGTGGTATAGACCAACAGCTGATGTGTCCCGTTTAATTTCAGTCCCACCTGGTTTACCTGGACTTTACTAATGGCATATTCTAAAGCAAAGTTGAACAGGAGTGGCGATAAAGCATCTCCTTGTCTTAGACCATTCTGGATAGAAAATTTATCAGAAAAATGTTTACTTACACGGACTTAACTATACGTTTCGTTTAGACACATTTTAATGAGCCTAACTAGTTTCATGGGTATCCCAAACTCTATCAGAATATTGTACAATACTTCCTTCCTAACTGAATCATAGGCTTTCTTGAAGTCAATAATTAGCTGAGGTACTGTCTCATTGTACTCCCATATCTTCTTCAGTGCCTGATGAATGCGAAGAAAATTGTATCAGTAATTGATGTGTTACGTCGAAACCCACGCTGATGATCTCCAATAATTTCATCTATATACGGACTTAACATAGAGAAGGATATTGAACAAAATTTTGTATGACATTGATAACAGTGATATCCAACGATAATTACTACAGTCAGTTTCATCTCCCTTCCAGCAAATTGGTACGATAATAGACTTTTCAACTGATCAGACAATTCTTCCTTATTCTGAATAGAAATAATGAGTTCATGGATCTCAGACCGTAATATTTCATTTCCTGCTTAAATCAGTTCTGGCGGAATTTGTTCAGTACATGGTGATTTACACGTTTTCAACTTCACACAGCAATTTCAACCTCAAAAGGACTGGTATCTGGTATTAACGGCTCAGCTGTATATATTTCTATCTGCCTAACATTACTGAGCCTATGTATATACAAAAACTGAGGCAAGTAGTTCTTCCGCCTACTCAAACTGTTGTGAAAATCTGCAAGCAGATCACCATTCTCATCCTTCATTAAGTTACTTCTAGGATTGTAACACCTCTTCATTTTATTTCTTCCTCTGCACAGGTCTATAATGTTCTTGACCTTACTGTTCGTTGCAAGCCATGAGTTTATGCTTTCAGATACTACTTCTTTTTATTCCTGAAATACGTGCTATCTTCACGTCTTATTTTGTTCAGAATATCCTCATTTATTTCGCTTGGATCTTGTAATGACTGCTATCTGGCTTGCTTCCTTTGATCTAATAGTTTCGAGCGTCTTTCTTCGAACCATGGCTTATGCTTCTTCAACACATAATAACCTAGACCCTCCTTGGCAGAAATTGTGATATTCTCTCTAATAGTTTCCCAAGCTTTATTAACATCCACCTCAGTGTCCAAGTTTTCCAAGGCCGCGAACCTCTTTGAGATTTCAACACGATACTGCTCTTTACCCTCTACCTCATTTAATTTCTTGAGATTTAACCTCGCCATATGAACTCTGTGTGTTGTTTGTTTGTTCACTGCCAGTCTTTCCCTAACGTTTGCCACCACCAGGTAGTGGTCAGTATCACAATCTGCTGCCCTGAATGATCGGACATCAAGTATACTTGAATGCCTTCTCCTATCTATCAAAATATGGTAGATTTGATTGTGTCTTTCCATCAGCAGATCTCCAAATACATTTATTAATGTTACGACGTGGGAACATTGTACTTTAGAGAGTTTCAATTTGTTATGACAGAGTTTGCTACTCTAAATCAATTAGCATGAAAAATTTCGTGTGAACTATCATTCCAAATTGTTTGTTTGAAAGTGCCTTCCATACCTACTTTGACATTGAAATCTCCTAATAAAATTTTCATATGGTATTTAGGGAATGTATCGAATACACGTTCTAGTTTATTGTAAAAACTCTCCTTCATATCATCAGTATTATCCTTTGTTGGATCATGAACATTCAGAACAATATCAAACCAGTGACCTCTTAGTATTATGTACGACATCCTATCACTAACAAATTCTGCCCTCTTAACTGCTGATGCGGTTCTTATATGTACCAAAAATAAACTGTACATAATTGATGATTCCCATTCCCCTTTCCATAGTAAAATATATATTCTCCCAATGGTTCGGTGCCACCTGTGTCCCATCTGACCTCCTGTACTCCCACTAAATCTAACTTATATTCAATATTCCTTTCGCAACTGTCATCAGCGAACATGACATAAACAGACTTCTTATATTCCACATACCAAATCTCATGTCCATTTTTCTTAACTTCTTTATTACAACCGTCACAACACAACTATATCAAGATCAGTGCCTAGCTTGGCTCTGCTACATGTTTCGGCTATCAATAGCCATCATCAGGCAAAGACATGGTTAACATACATACACCACTGAACCGTAGTACTAGTAAAATTGGATACAATATTATTAATTATATATAATACTTGACGTAAAAATACAATAAATTAGATTATGTAAAACAGAAGTTATAGTATAAAACAAGAATAAAATTCTAGATTGATGTTTTATATCATCGAATCAGTCGTTGGTTTTGTAATTTCGTTGCGTTCCCACGGACAAATTGGTATATTCTATATTTTCTGTATATAAAATTGTATAGGAGGCTAAGATGTAGATGCAGTAAATTAATGTTAATTGTTTAGTCGGTGCCTCATCTTACAAAGTATTGTCCGTTCTATAGGGAATGTAAACAACTTCTTAACTTAGGTCGTTTAAACAAACAACCCGTCCAAGTCCGAGGCCCTTTGTGACATTTCTTAAGTTCTTTTTAAGGTGAGACGTGTTTAGCCCCACGCCAAACGCCTAAGCCGGAGGAATATCCATTGTCGGCTGTCCATGACTGCGTATTCAATATATTCGCAACTACTTCCATGAACTTCACAATATTTAGACCTACTGAACATCATAGGCCTAAATCCTGTGAAGTTCATACCCACAAAATTTCTTGTGTAATTTAATATTATTTTATCTTAATTAATATTTTACTGTCTTATAGCTTCATGTATATAAAACTCTCATGGAAACAAAACATGACTTTGACAGAAATAGCGAATTCCTTCCCGTATGCGTATTGCTGTAACAGCGAAACTGTAGCAAAAGGGAGGTGTGCCAAGGAACTGCGTAGCCAAGTTGGCAGGCAAGGTCCGTTTCTGCAACTCTTTCCATTGCTATAAATATTATTCGTCGTGCCGGTGTCTGTAGGTTACATTGTGAAGCCAACACTGTTGTTACCTCCCCCACCGTCTTGCAGACCTGACAGCCGACCAAGTTTGAAGTGCACGTCCTAGTCCTAAGGACTTCCAAAGAAAAGCCCTTTTATATTCTCTAGAAACTGAACTTAACGCAATTTGCACTCTGCTATTTCTCGCCACTTTCTGTCTGTTACAGACGTAATGATTTGCACGAAATAAACCTGGACTAATTCTTCCTCAATTCACAACTCAAAATTCGTGTGGAATTTTTCATTGGACTTCAAACCTTGCTGTAAGCATAGCTGTCCTAAACAAATGAAGTGAAACGCCCACAAAACTGAGAATATGCTTGAATCAATCTTTTCGCATGGAAAATAATAAGAATTGGGGAAATTGCAGTAAAAAAATTATTATCTCACTCACAACATGTTTCGACTCAGACAAACATTGTCAGATGGTGCCTGAGAAACATATAAATGGCGACTGAATTCTATAGACCTACAATGCTAGCGTAAATTTGAAAGTTTGTTAGTTACATTAGACAGAATCCGATTTCATACCATATACAGATTAAAATTAAACAAATAAGAATAGAATAATATCAGTTTAAAATCTCTATAAAAGTGAAAGTATTTTTCCAAAGGAGAAGGAGAAAAAGGGAAAACTTTTAGAAACTATAGGGTCTAGGTGACAAGGTGTGTGTGTTTGTGTTCGAGAGCGTGGTTGTGATTAACAAGGACCGGATTTTTATGCCCTAATAATCCCTTAAATATGTATGCGTTTATGCATGAAAAACT